TTAATTTCACAATGAAAAATATATAAATTTTTGAACTCTTACTATTAATTAGATATTATTAAATTTGATTATAAAATTACAAAAAAATAATCTGAACCATATTTTTAAATTGAATCTTCCGTAATCTAAATCCGGAAATCAGAAAAAGAAATAGTCGGATATAAGAAAAACGGCCGGATAAGCCGTATTCCGGATATTTGCCGGATACCCGGTACATCCCAAATCTGTACATATTTATTTACGTCCTTTTATATGTAAATGCTTTTCTAATTGTTTTCTACATAATAAATATTTGTATTTAAGTTTATATTACGTATGTACTTATATAAGCGCTTTCGACAGAAGCAGCATTTTGATGTGAAACAAAATGGTTTTGAAAGCTCAAGTCATTCCCTTATACGGAAAAATATTGACATTGAGCCACAATTACTCCTTGTCCTTAAAATAATTGGTCAAAAATAGTGTTATTCGAAAAAAAACTTGCAAAATCCACCGCAAATTTTTTTTTGTGTTTTATTACACTAATAATAAAGATTTTGCGACGAGAAACACGACTGCGATGTTTAAAAAACAAAAAAAAAAATGAAACCCTTAGTTACAAAAATGCATTATGATTTGCATGCAGCGATTAATTTTTTTACAATTTTATATCGCTCGAGCAACAAGTACGTTGTAGTGCTATTCAAGACCTTCAATTTGAGTCAAGGTACAAGTCTATAGGCGCTGTGAGGGCCAAATTATAACGATTCTGAAGTTAGACCTCGAAATTTCATTCAACATTTTTGCAAATTTTTCCTCTAATTTCAGAGTAAAAACTCATACAATAGATTCGAAGCTTGGTTTAAAATTGGTTTAAGCGAAGGAATTGCACTTTCTAAAGACGAAGAATTTTATGACAATATTTTTCATTACAGGACTAACGCTCGGATATTTGCAATGGTCTGGTTCACGCTTTCAACAACGAAACGAAAACGAACGCAAATAAAGCAAACGGGAAGCAAATGGATTTTCAAAATAAAATTATTTAAAATTTCTTATAAAATGATTTAATGCAATTTTTCTTCGGAATATTTCCGTCCATAAGTTAACACTACAGGAAAATATAAAAGCACAAAAAAAATTATCAACCGAACATTTACATGGTCAAGTAATTTTTTCAGAATTCAGTAAAATTAACAAGTACAATTGTATATGTAAGTTCGTTCGAAACCGAACTCAGTATACCCGGCGCACATACTAAAGCCCAAAGAAGCCTTAAACTTGGCAACAACTGAAGCTATGGCGCCACCGAGCTTGCCCAGAAATATCCCTCAAGACAGCAGATGAACCCGGCCCCAACCAGTACTAGGACTAAGGTACCGAGTAGTCCGAAGACCAGTGCTAATCACAAAAGTTGTACCAGTAGGGAGGCATGCGCCCTGCCAATACCGAGCACCTTACGCCCTCCTGCAGCAGGCTCGTCTGTCAGGAAGCAACCTCTTATGAACTAACCGCGGAAAGAACTTCGTCTGAATACATCCTTTGCAGGTTACCCACCCAAAATAAACGTACCACTCGAAGCTTGCGTTGCCAAGCTAAATCTCTCCAAGAAGGACTTCGCGAAGGGACTGGAGGACATTGCTAAGGCAAAGAAAATAACTCCGGAGTCCGGACTTTGAAATCAATCAGTACGGCATGGCGGAGGCCACAAAGCGCCGGAGATCGGTGGAGGAGATCGCGGTATTGACACCAAAGCCCAAAACACAAAGAGGTCGGATTCGATCCTTTGCGAAAATAGCCAAGATCGCCAGGCAGCAATAGAGTTGGGTCTAAGCATCCTTGACAAAAGGAGCAGTGCATGTTAAGAAATAAAACCCTGGACCGCCACCCTCGCTCACCATTTTCTCATAGCTGAGATCGGAAAAGTAAGCGAGGTGTATACGAGGGCCCGATGAAGGATTTTGAAGCCTGTGACATTCCTTCGCGTGTCCAAGAGCGAGAGCCTGGACAGCGGTAGCACCCCATAATCCTGCGGATATTTTCTAAATGCTGCAGGAATTCAATTTGAAAGTAATAATGCAGATTTTTTTTTTTTCTTGTAAGCAATGAAAGCCTGAATATACGGCCAAAAACTTATAACCGGGTCAACTTAAGCGGCTTATCAATACTTGGTTTCTCTCTGCGATTTTGATATTCATAAATACTAATGGCCTTATTGATAGAAAATAAAATAGATTTAAAGAGTTCTATAAAGTGACATGTTTATAAAAAAAAATCCATTTATAAAGCAGTTAATCTTGTTTATATTTTATGAACTTGGCTGCAAGTTTATTGGTATTCGGTATGCAAACAAGTACTTTGCATACAAAAGTATTTAAGTATGTCCATCACTGAACTCAATGAACTAATATCTTCCATATTCTTTTGCCATCCGGCTAAACCTCAGCTGCGCAACTCATCCTATGTATTTATCTATTTTTATTTCGCAAAATACTCGTGCATTTTATGCTACACAATTTTATTTATAGCCCATAAGTAATTGTTTATTATTGCTATTCGTGCATTTTTATAGTTTTGATATTTCTTGTATTTATTAAAGGAATTTTGATAGACTCGCCCAATGGCTACATACGTTCTGGCTTTGCTAGCAATCAGTTTTTGTTTTATTAATTGCCTTCTTTTCTTACTGCTAGTAAGCTAATTAACAGCTTGTTATTTTAACAATGAATGAATTAAAGCGAAGAAAGATTTAATGACTAAACATTACTGAGTTATTACTCGTTAATACCCTGTAGGGAATAACCGAACTAGCGAACCAAAGTTCTTGTTCCATACCAACTCTTTATCGCCAAAAACGAACCAGTCCGATATTAACTAGATCCACATCGGTTCAAAGGCAGCGAAATGTGGTACGTTTAAAAAACTGTTTAAATTTACATTTTAAAACTTGCTAAGAATGAGAAGTTGCTGTTCCACTTTTTCTAAAAAAAAAATATATTTTAATGCAAGAAGCAAAAACAATTAGCAATGCATCGTTTTTTTAAAGATCGAACGGCCTATTTTACTATTATATTCACGTTAACTTATAGTTAGATACATTTCCTGTAGGGCGCATGTAAGTACAACATGCAAAACTTCTTTTATACGATTAACCATAAATGTGTGAGAGCATACCATAATTTATGTATGGCTGTGTTCACATCAGCGCATATCAATATTCCTATAAACATCAACTCGATGGGATAATTCAATTTGATGCCACCACTTAGTTGGGGTTCTCCTTTAAACATCTGCGGCGAATTCTTCAATATTTAGCGAAGCGAATTCTCATTTTTCAATTCTTTTATAATTATCGAAGCATGTACACATACATACATATTTTCATATATTACACGTAGTAGAAACTGCTCGTCGATTTTATGGCTCAAAGATTTTGTTACGGAAATTTTGTGCGAAATTCTTAAGATTGTTGGCGGTCCCTTTTATAGAGCCAATTAAATTATACTCAGTTAGTAAGTAGTTAACAAAATTTTACAGTCTTTATTGATTGTAAATAGTGGTTAGACATCTATCTACCCTGGTGGTCTTATCTTAGGCATTCCAGTGATTTAAAGGCGTTGATGTAGAGCACGGGATGGGCACTGCCTTGCCCGTGGGCAAAGCTCTTTTAAGCTTTCTATACATTTTGTAGAGGCTCGAGCAAGGTAAAAGCTCTATCTGCCCAACGCTGTATCAGAGCCAATCAACCACTTTCGTCGCAGTAGTTGTACAGTATCTCTACTCACTCTTCCCGCGATATCGAAAGTACAAATGGCGAAGGGCTTCTGCGAAGGAACAGCTATTTAATCTATACAACCGACTGTAGAACCGATTACACTGATGTTCCCTAACAGAAGGCAAGCTGATTAATATTAGGTTTACATATAAGTGGATTATCCTCATTTTCAAGCTTGACTCCCTAATTTGTATTTAGAAAAAGAAATTAGCAGATAAATTTTCGGTGGCCAACACAGTTTTACCGATTATTTTGTCGAAAAAGAGGAGTAATATCAAATGTACAAGTAAACAAGAATGGACGCTAGCTAAGAATGATAGAATACATATATTACGTCTAGTACCTCCTTGATCGCATACGACAGCAACTGCATTATAGCCACAATCTTGTGACTTTTGCAGCATGCTTCGAAGCAAAACGGAAGTCATTTTGCAGTCGAAGTCATAAAAGATTGGCTGTTTCTTTTTTGCCATGACACCTGAAAAAAAGAAGGGCTTTACAAATGTTTTATTTTATTTAAAAATATTCTCTGTAATATTTTCCTCTTAATATCGCCACCTGCACATAGTTGACGGGTGCTAATGTTGAGGCCGACGAAACATCATAACAGTAAGATTGTGTTACGGGTAGCTGCTGCCAATAAGCGGAAGACTTATAAGTTTTATAGGTCCTGTATGCCTTTTGACTGGCAGTATACAATGTTATTGATTGCGCAATATCCTCCTCCGCCCAATTTCGTCGCTTCGACCCAGCCTTCAGTTTCCCTATCTGCCCTTTGGTGAATATGGAAGACAGTTTATCTCCCATATTTCCTTATCGGAAGCCATTGCATTCAAACTCTCTAGCAGTAACTCTACTTCCGATGCGTGATTAAGATCTTTAATTGTTTAACGTACGCTTCCGCTTTCAATACTTCCACTTCTTGAAGATCGCCGTCGTAGTAAATCCAGTTACGAATAGGCGATGTCGCAGCATCAAGAAAACCGTCCTCGGCCCACTGTAACAAACCACTGAGATTAATAATATAATTTTAAGGGTATAATATTTTTACTACCTTCGCACGGACTTTACCATTTTATTTGTAAATCTACCAACTTTTTAGCTCTTTTTTTATTTTCTACCATTTTTACCAACAAAGGTTAAAAATCTACCAATATTTTCCGGAAAGAAAGCAAAGAGATTTTAAAGAACGCAGTGCATACATATTTTGCCATTGAACGCACCTAAAATAAAGGCTCTGATCCAATAATTTTCGCACAGTTATATTGTGGTATTACAGTCGGTTTAAAGGTCTTTAAAAACTAATGATTCATTACTTTACTTAAAGAGCACAACATAAAAAACATTCAAGTTTCATTAAAAACTAAGAAATTGTTTGTTGTTTTTTCATTAATGACTTTTATCTTTCGGTCTAATGGCCATCTGCACATACTTGAGTGAATAGTCTCGTCCATGCCAGGTGTACCAACCAATGCCTTCGTTGTATGGACTCGGTGCACCATATAAATATTTTCCATTAAGGTTGCTATTGAAAAAATATTTTTTATGAAAAGCATTGATATTCGTATATGTACATATGGAAATAGATAGACACACACTTACCTATCAGTAGTAAGACAGTGATTATACCACCAAGCACCAGCATTGTAGTAAGCGCAATTTAATTGCGGATTTTTACTATTGTCACGATCGTAAGTTGAGAATTGTTGACCTTTATGTGTGCTCATAGAATCGCCCGCATCGCCCGAAAACCCTTCCAATACATTCAAGGTATAGTTATCGCTTTCATTGCCAATTTCGAAGTCGGCATATTTAGCATAACGTTCTTCTCCCTCAAAATCTTCCATCTGGATCCACAACTCGCTAGGCTGATCATTTGTGAGCGCATACAATATTTCCAATCCAATGAAAAATTCATTTTCCTTGTCACCAAATCCTGCAACATAATCATCCCAATTGCGATAAAAATCCTCAGTGCCATCTGTGCGGCGTTGCACCACAGTCCAAGCAGGACCGCCATTCGGATCTGCTAGGCAGTACACTTCGAAAGGTGGCAGATCAAAATCGGGCACATACAGTGTGTAAATGCCACTTTCAGCGTTAACGTCCTTTTCAAATGCGTCAGCGCAGCTGGCAGGTAAGCCAGCATTTGCATCAAATGTAGCCGGTTTATCGATTTTCTTGCGTAGGCGCTCAATTTTGGTATTAAGTATGTTTAAGATTGAGGCTTTTTGTCGGCTTAAACTTCATTGGGCAAACGTTGAAAATGAATAAATAAGAATCATGTTTAAAAGCCAGTAATATGTACATATGTTTTCGAGCAAGCAACTTACTTTTGCGTTAGCTCTGATTTTAAGGACTCTGCATCTTCATTGAAACGCTCTGAAGTGTGAATATCCTGTTCTCTCAATTTATCCTCAACTGTTTGTAACTTGTTCCGTACACCATCTTCCTGTTCCTGTAGATTGTTTTCCAAATGCTGCATAGCCGTTAATAAATTGTTTTGTTCATTTAAAATATCGTTGAGACTCGCTGGGGGTCTGTGTAGAAGTGAAGTAAACATAAATAAAGAAATTATCATCAAATAATAATGAGATATGCACTCACGTAAGTTCGTAGACTTCCGTCTTATAAATTTTGTCATCATTCACAATGACGGTTGAGCTTAGTTTTTGTCCGTAACATTTTTCGTAATTGACACCACATAGAAATTTCTACAGGATTGACTTAATTTATAGCATTTTCTTACACTTTATTTTTTTTTTGCATTTGATGGTACTTACGCTCAATGCATCCTGCTTGCGTTCTTGCATACTACCTTCCAATCCTTGCATGCCAGTACTAAAAGCACTAGCCGCTCCGGACAAATATAGAAGCGCAGTTGCTAAATACACAATTCGTAGCCACATATTTTAAATGCAACTTATAAATTCCGAATCGAAAATGTTCAAAGGCGATGCTGTTTAAATACTTAGGATAGTAGCCGCATTCGTTATCTGTCGCCTCTCATTATCTCTAGGTTACTATTTGACATACTCTTATCGCTATATAAAACGAAAAAATATTATGTATCAGCAGTGCTTTTGAGAAAGCGTACAGGAAGCGAAACTAAGTTCATTACCTGAATAAAACGGGTTAAACTAGTATTTAAATTATACTTTCGTTATTTTAATTTGTATTAATTATTACAATCATAAAAGGAGGTACCCGACCACGCCTTGCTGTGGCTCTGTCTGGTTGAACCGAAAAGAAAGAACAAAAAAAGTATTCATTTCTAATATTCTTACTATCCCAATGGTTGTGGGTATGCAATATTTCTTGTTGTTACATTAGGATAAGGTGGTTATCCGGTACAGTAAAAACTTTTTAAAACAAAAATTTTGTAATTTTTTTTCTCTTCATTTAAACTAATAAAATTGAAGCCTTTTCGTAATCAAAATGAAATCGACTCTAGAGTTCGTGGTAGCTTTATTGGCAGATATTCAATTGAAAACTAAATAGGTGGTAACTCTATTACAATTCGTCTCCAAATGGATGTGGCTTGTTGCAATATTTCATTTACTTAAGTCAAAGATATGTATGTAAATATGTATGTGTGTAAATCTATTCTACAATACATAGAAAGATGGCAACCCGGTTTAAAAATACTTTACTTACAAAATATTTGTGAATACTCTTGTTTTGATACCCTGTAGTAAAACTTTGCTTCCGTCGCATATTTGATTAAATTTAAATTTCGAGAGAGATGACAACCCTGTCGAGGCAAAGAAAAATAGTTGGCCAAAATTTCAAAGCAAACTGCGAAGACCTCCCGAATTTTGCAATTGTAATAGACAAACGAACATTGGTTACTTATTTTTATACATATAGCCAACACTCACTTGCTTTGCGACGCACAGTGTTTCGAAATCCTAATCTAGGAGGGCAAAACTATTTGCTGAAAGATGCTTTGACACAATTTTACACCACTTTGTTTTCATATATTTTTGAAGTCGCTGATTACGAATCTGAAATCAGATTTCAAAAATTCAAAATAGCGGATCAAATATGGCGAGAAGAAAAATGAAGAAATCAGTAAGGTGATTAGTTTTGTATAGTTAAAGTAGAAAACAAATATTGTGAACCAAATTTTAATTTTATAATATTTTGCACATAAAAAAAGCAGAAACCAAAGCATGGTTCGAATAGTCGCATTGGTAAGAAATTGTATCAATAATGAAGACTGGGTAGATGGATTGAAAGTGTTAATAAAGCTCGTCCTTTTCTTAAGTGGAAGCTTAACAAGTAAAGGTAGTATTTCTTGTGGAAGTTATCTTTAATTATATTTAGTGTTTATATTTTCTTACGAATAAAACGTTTCCAACCTTAAAACTTTACATATACTAAGTATATCTATATATATTGTGGATGTAATAAAAATAACAATGTTTTCAGAAGTAATATAAAAAAAGTCTCAAAATTAACTGAAAGAAACTCTTACAAGTAATGATGATTATTGAAAGCTAAAGGCTTATTAAACATAATTTTTCGGACGAATTCGCACAATTTAACTTTTGCCATTTAGAGTTTTGTAATATACAATTTTGCAAACACTTACTTTTATTGGCGATTTTTAAATATAATCATTGGAAATAGAATCAAATAGTTTACACTATCTTATAGTGGGTAAATCAAGCTATCAAACTGATATAGGAATGGTTAAAATATGACAATTTTATAAACCACTAGCTGCGCTCAAATAAAGTTATTATTTTCAGGGCAACATCAACAATGCGTGAGTTTGTGTCGCTTAAAGCACTTATACAGCCGTATTAAGCTACCTTGCAATTACTAGAATATCGACGACAGAGCTGGCAACTTTTTTTTAAGGATGAAGTGCCGTACGAAGTCCCAAAAATGATACTACCCCTTTGTACAATTAATAGATTGGCCCAAGTACTGTTAAAGCACTTTGTATGGTAAACTCATATGTATTTAAATATTTATAGCACTCATTTCTTTATAAAAGAGTTTTTTTTCGACATACATACATCGCCTATAATGAGTAGCATCGGACTTTCGGCCATAGGAACAAAAAACTATGCAATAAATATCTTTTATTTCCCCTTTTATGACACGTTACCTATTTAAAATTGTGTCCCAAGCTGGCAACCCTGATCGATGAGTTGGCCCGACTGAAAGATAAGAATCATGCTCCAAGGTTATTTATACTTAAAATAGTAGAATCTTTAATTCATTGTTAAGGATTAACTTTTGCTAAGTATTTAATAAAAAATTTCTTATCTAATTTTTGGGGTGCGTCCTGAAGTTATAACACAAATGAAGCGGCTTAAAATCCTATGCCGCCTGCTAACGGCAAATCGTTCTATAAGAAGCTTTTTCTAGGCACTCGGAGGTTATCCATTGCGTGCCGAGGGCCGACCACTATTAGAAAAACTTTCTAATTTTAAATGTTGCCAGGAATTGAACCCAGATCCTACGGTGTTATAGCACGTACTTCTCACCACTGGGCTACAGTGGCCTACTAGCATGCATATGAATATAATGGCTGTTCAACTGCAACATCAGTAAATCCAATTTTACATTCCCTAATGGCCTGACAGTATTCAAAAAGAAATGCAAAAAATTGTCGGAGATAACAACGATGTAAAAAGTCTCGTTTATTTTTGAAATGGAATCACATTTGTTGCAGCGATTGTCGTTAGCAAAAGATTGTATTTAAATAAATTAATAAAAAATTTAACCATTGACCCATTCGATTATTTTATTAGTAAGTGTTTTATTTATTCAGATTAACGATTACAATATTATTGCAATAGCAGACCACTTTAGTGACTCATTTTTGAAAATGATACATAATACATTTTTTCAATTAATAATTACACGGTCAAAATTTGGGTTTCATTTTTAAACCGAGCTGGGACTGCTGCCTTTCTTAAGCTTTTATAGTCTACTTTTCAAGCCAGTCAATAGTTTCAAGCAATTTTTAATATATTCTGGTTTAAATTGTAGTCAAAGGCACCCGAGAAAATGAAGTTTCTATGAGTGGTTTAAAATTAAAACCAAAAAGTTCGTGGTTTCAAATATAGGTCCTATTTGTTTTAAAATCAAACCAGAATGCATTTATTCTAGTTTTTCTAAGTTATATAGAAAATTGTGTTTAAAATCTAAACCAAAATAGAAAATTTTTGGGTTTAAATTCTAAACCCAACATATCGACTGCTGAGTGGAAGATCGACCTATCTCGGCAGCCAGTTCGAAAACATTCTACCTCAAAAAACTTTTCAAGAACACCCTATTTCAGAATTCGTTTCAAAAACGCCCTATCTCAGCTTCCGATTCAAAAACGCCCTATATCAGCATATTTTCAATACTTTTTGAAGTGAGATAGGGCGTTTTTGAACCGAATTTTGAGATAGGGTGTTTTTCAATTAAATTCTGAAATAGGGCGTTCTTGAAAAGTTTTTTGAGATAGAGCGTTTTCGAACTGGCTGCCGGGATAGGTCGATCTTCCACTCAGCCATCGATATGTGCTCTCTTTTTTTAATATTGGAAGGTTTGAATTTGAAACTAAATTTAGTTTGGCTATATATGCAGTCCAAAATATTTAAAATTAAAACCGAAATGTTTAACCGTGTAATTACGCTGTTTTACTTACAAATGTAGTTATTTCGATGGAATTTGATTTTGTTTGCTATTGAATAAAATTCTATTTTGAGAATTTACATACATATGTACATACATATCTACATATTATCAATGGTTCTACAAAGCTAAAACATAAGCGGAAGAAGAAAGAAAGAAAAAAAGATCTCCATGAATCGTAAAAATATTTCAACGAAAAAATATTTCATCAGAGTGATCTGTGTATGTATTGTAGCGATGAATGCAAACAAGACAATGCTAACCAAGAAAACGTGTCGTCCTCGGAAACAAATTTATTGCCGGTAATATTGCCATCGTAAAGATTTCCTATTAATAGTCACTTTAAAACGTCGGCCGAAGGCAACTCGCCTAGGCGAGTCGTTTTCTTATTACCTGAATGAGTCGTTTTCTTATCTCTTCAGGCGATATTTGGAATAATTTTATTCCTTTAAGGGCCGTTTTCTAATGTAAGCAGTAAAGTTGCCTTTACTAACAGGGCAGATAAAGGTTGCATCGGGTGAGCAACAGTTTATCGATTCGAGAAATTAATGCGCTGATGAGAAAACGAAAACTCGTATATCGAGACGATAAAGTGGCCGGTAAACTGAAGCTTGGATGAGAAAACGGCCCTTAATACTCCATTTATTTTTTGTATACAAAATTGGTACTTAGAAACGGAATTAATTCTTAATTAATTCTTTCTTTCGCTATGGGTACGGTGACCATCCCACAAATCATCTCATATATCACGGCCCATTAGACACAAATTGTGAAGCAATAGCAATAGTCCGCTCGGCAATCCTTTTAGATAAAATTCATGTTACGCTGTCGTATTTAGGACCAGGCAATACAGTGACAGAGAAAATTTTTGATGCTCTTTAACATTTTCTACGCTTACACCTTTGTGTATTTCTGTTGAACAATGTCCGCTGATTAAACCAACCTCTGAGCTAACGGACAGATGATCAAGGAGAACTAGAGACTCAGATTTATTTCCATTAATTCGTGGCTCACCGGTGGTTGTCTTGTACAATAAAAACCGATCTGAGCCATATGTGTGTAATCCGTTTGGAGATACATATTTATGTAGTTTGCTTGACGGCGTTTGGCGCAGAACCTTACTTAGCTCGGAACCATCGCTGAAGATTTAAATAGGACTAGTTTCTAGCTTTTTCCACTTCACCATTCGCTCCTAACGGGGATGCTTGTCGAAAAATTGTTCTCAAAGTAGGCAGATAAAATGCTTGTTAGACTTGACTTGACTAGACTTGAGTTTTTCGCAAGAAGGACCGAGAGAGTATTAGGAGCTTTGCACTGGTTGGAAAGTAAGGCCATCGTGATAAGCACCCTTTCCTTTTGATTTTGGACGAGAAGAAGAGAATGCACCTTACTTCAACTGCGACAGCGGATGCATTATATGTGGCTACAAGCCCCATCATTTATATGCTCGACCCTATTAAGGTGGCATTTCAGGGTACTATTTTATATATATATAATTTGAAAGTTAGGGGGGGAGGGGGGGGGAAAGGGTGCTCGAGCACCCCCTGCCCCTACCTGGCTACGCCCATGGCTATAGGGCTTCCTATTTTTTCAATCCTATCTTTGGTATTTTTGATAACTTATTTATTCCTAAACTGACATGAAAGAAATGGTGTTGCGAGTTCCTGTTCTTGGAGCTATCCAGCTCTGGGAAGAAGCCCACCAGAAGTTTCGGCATCCGCTACCACCTTCCTCTTTTCCCGCTTTCCAGGGCGAAAGCTTCGGAACTGCGGCCTTTATCCACTCCGCAGTTATAGAATCCTGGCAGTGAATGAATAACCATCCCGGAAGAAATGTGTAACCGTAAAAAATAGGCTTTACAGCGTTATGTTGGTTCTTCATTTGAGCGTCTTCACGAGGCAGGTTTGCCTCGGCAGTGGGCACTATTACTACTTACTTGGCTCACGCTGCCGCGTACATAGGTTTCGAAACATTCTCGGGGCTTGCTCCTGTCAAGTGGACTTCTTTTATAGGGCTCTCTAATCCGAACTGTCATTTTAGGTGGCCCAATGCCCTCTTTCGCTAATTCCCTAGTCTCCTCGCAGCTAATACCTTTCTCCATATAACACTTGAGACGTTTCCACTACGCTGCTTTCGCTCTCGAGTTTGGACGAGTGTATCATTTTCTGGCGGAGATCCAAGCAGCTTCTGCTCATCATTCGGTGAGATGTCAGAAAGTGTTTGGACGGAATTCGCATCCCGGCTAGCGCTGGTGTCACCATCTCAACATTATACTGGGGTCTAATACCCCCGCCGCCCCCCTCACCTCTCTCTTAGTGCTATCGAAACAATCTGTGCTTCGGGAAGAGGGGCACTTAAATTGGACACCATGAGATGGGCAATGGTAGCAAGGATACCCATGAACAACATAAAAGGACCTGTAAGCAGGAAGAAGATCCATTCTAAATAAATAAAAACCACATTCTTCCCAGTTTGAGTTGAGCTTTTCAAGATTCTAAGCTGTTTAACTGTTTAAACTTATAAGCTGTAGCAAGACTCAATAAATTTTTACTCCAGCGAAAACATTTCATATTAAATACTTTTTTATTTTCATTTAATAACATGCTATGGTCTTCGAAAATTTTTTTCCATACAATATTTACTGTATAAAAGTATGTACTTTGCCTTCAGCTTTAGGAAATGGCTGCTTTCGGCCTGATAGCCATATGCACGTACTTCAGTGAATATTCGTGACCATGCCAGGTGTACCAATCGATGCCCTCACCTTCTGAATGGTCATAGTATTCACCAAACAAATATCGTCCGTTTAGATTACTGATTGAAAAAGGAAATTTATAACAAAATAATTTATAGTGCAGATATGTAAGTATGTATACAATGTGAAATTTATCTCTCGCATACTCACCTATCGTGACAGCGATTGTACCACCAAGCGCCCCCAGACTTGACAGCACAATTATACCATGCATTCTTATCATTATCGCGATCCTTAGTAGTAAATTGTTGCCCTCTTTGCTCGTTCATAGAATCGCCCGCATCGCCCGAAAACCCTTCCAATATATTCAAAGCATAGTTGTCGCTTTCATCGCCTATGGCGAATTCTGCATATTTCGCATAACGCTCATCCTC